CCAGGCCCCAGTAAATTATCTCTTAACAAGGTATTAAATTCTAAAACAGTAAAAGTGAAAAATCTAGTATAGTTAAAATTACCTTTGAAAATTCCTTAATTTGCTGATAAAGGGGGAGAGGTAGAAAAGAGAAAAGGGGTCAAATATATGGTGATGGAAGGAGACTTGATTTTGGGTGGTGAACACAATGCAATATACAGATGATGTATCACAGAGTTGTACACTTGAAATCTATATAATTGTATTAACCAATGTCACCCAATAAATGTAATAAAATTATGTATATTTAAAATATAAAACCAGGTACTCTATGAATGACTTACCCTAGACTTCAAGATGCACTGAAGAGAGCAATGAAAGCTACAAAGAAAATATAGACATCTGAGCATTCAAACTTTTCTACATTTAAGATTCCTGTCAGAACACTAGAGGAGGCCCAGCCAGGCGTGGCTCAGCGGTTGAGCGTCGACCTAGGATCCAGGTGATCGGGGTTTGATTCCCAGTCAGGGCACATGCCCAGGCTGTGGGCTGATCCCCAGTAGGGGGTGTGCAGTAGGCAGCCGATCAATGACTCTCTCATCATTGATGTTTCTCTCTCTCTCTTTCTCTCTCTCTCCTTTCCTTTCTCTGAAATCAATAAAGACATATTAAAAACAAAACAAAAACAAAACACTAGAGGAGGATGCAGGTGGGTAAAAAGCTTCTCCTTTTATTCCATTTTTAAAATTTTTATTTATTTTTAAAAATATATATCTTTATTGATTTCAGAGAGAGGAAAGGAGAGGGAGAGAGAGAGATAGAAACATCAATGATGAGAGAGTCATTGATCGAGCCCGCAGCCCGGGCATGTGCCCTGACTGGGAATTGAACCCCGATCGCCTGGATCCTAGGTCGACGCTCAACCGCTGAGCCACACCCAGCCGGGGTATTACATTTTTTTTTTAGAAAGAAGTAAATCCATCTACATTTAATGTTTATTAATGGATTTTTTAGTTTTGAAACAATGTATATAAAAGAACCTAATGAAAGGCTTGGGACATGCTTGGAGCTTACAGATGTTTGCTGGATTTAAATTTAAATTTTGCTTATTACATGGACCCACATATGAACTGTCCTTTGAAAAGTGGTTCAGAAGACCTTGGTTGGCTTTCTGTCTTCTGTGTGACCCAGTGAACAGCTGTTGCTCTTTTGCCATTTACCCTAGTTTCAGGACACCTTACCAGAAATGTATATGAAGGGAGATAACTTTTTTTTTTGCCCGCCAAACTTGAAAATTAGTAACATCCTATGCTGGCTAGGATATGGAAAATAGGTACTTTTGTAACTTTCAATAGGAGTATGAACTATTTAAACCTTTTAGGAAAACTTGTGTTCTAAAAGAAATGAAAGCAAAAGTCTTTGTAGCGACAAATACTGAAACCAACTCATATATTCACCAGTAGGGAGGAAATGAAAGGAATTATGGTATTGCCACACTGTGGAAAACAATGTACATAAAAGACAACTAGATACGCCTATGTGTTGATTAGAAAAGTGCCCGTGATATTTTTAAGTTAAATAAATTATGAAACAATAGACAAAGTATAATGCTATATCTGTTAACAACAAACAAAAACTGAAAACTCAACTACAGAATATAAACCTATATGTGTGTGTATGTTTTTTTATGAGAATACAAACACAAGTGTGGAAGGATATATTCTGAACTGTTATACTTGGTAAACCCAAGGAGGTAGGGCAATGCGATGTTTGTGGGAAGAGCAAGGCGATCATTTCACCTTTTGCTCCTCTGTTGTTTGAAGGTCTGATCCAAATGAGTAGCAATAAGAAATACAAGACAAAGGCAACTGGGGGGTGTAATATGGAAATGGAGTGGATGGAATTTGGCAACTATTTGAGTGCGGTGGAAAGGGAAATGAGGCCAGGGCTAACTCACCCGTTTCTAGCCTGAGTGATGGGGAAGATGCTGTCATTCATAGAAACAGGGATATCATGGGAAGTGAATTCTTTTTTATTGTTACCAGAGAAGAAATGATGAGTTTGGGTTATCAATCAGAGTTGTGTTGTTTCTTATTTTAAATGATAATTACTCCTATAGGAAAGCTGCTTATCTTGGTCTTAAAACCTCAAACAAAATGATGCTTTATAGTTGTATTTCACGTAAACTTTGGAACTAAAAGAGCCAGACTTGTATCTAGTATTTTACCTTATTCATTCATACTATTCCAAAACTTTAAAAAAACATCAAAAACACTTATTTTTGAATTGGAAAAAATTATAATAATTTGAAATCATCTCAAACATGAAAAAAAAAGTAAGTTTTCCTGCTGTATCAAAGTGGCAGAAAGTATAAACTATGACCTGTACAATTTTTACTATATGTTTCTTTTTTGTTATTTTAGTACAGTTGTGCCTTTTCAAGTGCCTTTGAAACTCAATGCCTATAAACAGAGTATATTGTTGTTAAAGATACTGTATAGTGGTAGCCTTATAAAGATTTTTAATTCTAGAAATAGCTTGTGCACTTTTATTCCATAGAAAACAGCATTAGATGTTGTCTTTATATTTATGCTATTTACTTGCAAATACTGTCAAAATGCTGTGTGAATTTATTTCTGTATAATTATATCATATTTTATGTTGGGGCTGAAATAGAAGTGTGTAATTCACCAGTTGGAGCTCTTTTGCAGTAATGCAGCAATGCAGAGTCAACGAAGTCACCTGAATAAATCATTTTAGTTTTCAGTTCAGTTACATGGAAATCAGCTGCTCTGGCATACCTTTTTCCTCCATTCATCATTAACTATATCTTTACTTTGGAAACTATCCCTATGTTAGTCCTTTCCAGTTGAATTATGCAGGGCTTTCCATGGGAAATGTTTTTTATGTTACATTTGTTATTTTCAATTTGAGGTAAAACAGGGATTCCTATAACTGCCATGTTTTTATTGAGCCTAAAGAATTTTATGAATTTCAAAACCTTCTGAGAGCTGGGTGATTATGATGTTGTGTGAATTCACAAGTCGATTTATTTTATTGACTAATTCTTATAGTTTGAGTTAAACTGTATATGGTCCCCCATTGGAGGAAACAGAAGAAAGATAATACATTTAATATTTTGTATATTTCCTGTTTTCCAGAAAATAAATACTTCTGGAACCAGTAATGCAGATGTCCCTCTGGCTGATCCCGGAATGTACCAACTGGACATTACATTAAGAAGGGGTCACAGTTTAGCTGCCCGAGACCGAGGAGGTAAGCTCATAGGAACAACACTACGTGGAAGCTTATTCTGTGTGTTTTTGACAAAATTGATTTTTTATGTGGTTGTTTATGTTTTAAAAAATTAACTATGTTATAATTTTTAGAAGGTCAGGTTCAGTGATGTGGTTTGAAATGTTATCTGACTCCTGTGACCATGGAGGAAGTGGTATGATGCAAGTTAGAAAGCATTGAACCGGTTCCAACCCAGAGAGCACAGCCCCTACAACACTGCTGACAAATCGGACTCTGCATTATATGTAATAGGTGACACAGTTGGTTAAGTAGGTGAGACACATATTTGAAGTCACATCAGAAGTCACCTTTTGGCAGACCTGACATTCTTTTTGCTGACTTGATTTGCTCAGTTGAACCAGCTAAAACTGCAGAAACCAGGACTGGCATCTCACCAAAGCTTTGACGATTCCCAAGAAGTAATTTTTTGAGGCTTTGTTGGACCTGCTGGCCATCTCATGGTGGATTAAACAGGTCTTTGTAGGCCATCGTGAAGGAAAAGACAAGGCAAATGCTCTTTAGTCCCTGGATTCCAGGGCAATCTCCTGATGAACTAGCCTGGGCTACTTGAAGGATTCTTTGAACCCAGAGGCAGGACCAGAGATAGACCCCAGACCGTCTGTGGTGTAGTCTGTGTAGTATCCTTAACACATTTCAAAATATCAGCCATTTAGGATGCAGGTAACTGAGGACCCCGAGCGCCCGCAATCCCAGAGGAACCTGAATGTGCTATAACTCCTCTCACTAGGGGGGAGGAGAACCCCTGGGCTGTTGTCAGAGAACCTGAGCATGTTCCTGGGACTACATAATCTTGTCTCCTCCAACCCTACTGACATTCATACTTAGGGGGTGAAAGGAACAAAATTAGGACTATAGTTTTTAATCTTCATCGCCTGTCTCTACAAGAATAAAATAGAGAAAATAATATCATAGGTTTTTTTTTTTTTTACACTAGAAACTATACAAATAATGCATTTAGTTTTTAAGTAAAAACTAGTAAATATCAGAACATTCTTAATGAATGAAGGTGTGATTAGAAATGTTGGAATTTAGAAAAGGGCACCCTAGTACACTGCTGGTGGGAGTGCAGACTGGTGCAGCCACTATGGAAAGCAGTATGGAGGTTTCTCAAAAGATTAAAAATTGACCTGCCATTTGACCCAGTGATCCCACTTCTGGGAATATATCCTAAGGAACCCAAAACACCAATCACAAAGAACTTATGCACCCCTATGTTTATAGCAGAGCAATTTACAATAGCTAAGATCTGGAAACAGCCCAAGTGCCCATCAGTAGATGAGTGGGTAAAAAAAGCTGTGGCACATTTACACCATGGAATACTATGCAGCTGTAAAGAGGAAGGATCTTTTAGCCTTTGGCACAGCATGGAGGGAGCTAGAGAGTATTATGCTAAGTGAAATAAGCCAGTCAGAGAAAGACAAGTACCACATGACCTCACTTATACGTGGAATATAATAAACAAAATAAACTGTTGAACAAAGTGGATCCAGAGACATAGAAGCATGGAACAAACTGAGGAATCTCAGAGGGAAAGAGGGGGAGAGATTAACCAAAGAACTTACATGTTTATAAGCATAACCCATAGACACAGACATTGGTATAGGGAAAGCCTGGGGGTGGGATGGATGTGGGGTGGAGGAGATCAGTGGGGATAAAAAGGGGACATCTGTAATATTCTCAAAAATAAAGATAAAGAAATATTAAAAAAAAAAAAAAAAAGTAAGCCAGTCCAAAAATTTTAAAAAAAGAATGTAAAGGGAACCCACCAGTCAGAGAAAGACAAATATCACACTGACCTCACTTATATGTGGAATCTAAGGAACTAAATATATTGATGAACAAGATAGGACCACAGACATGGAAGCATGAAACAGACTGACAGATCTCAGAGGGAAGGTGAAAAGAAGGAAGGGAAAAGATTGACCAAAGAACTTAAAGGCATATAGGCATAGCCCATGGACACAGACAACAGACAGGTGAAGACCTGGGGAGGGAAGGGAGGTGAGGGGAGGGGGGTAAAGGGAAGAAAATGGGGGACATCTGTAATACTCTCAACAATAAAATAAATTTTTAAAAAAAGTTGGAATTTAAACACATGGAGGAAATTTTGAAAATTAACCATCTGATTTAGTAACTGAGGACAAATATTGATTGAATTGAACTGCTTGTCTCAAAAGAACTTACAATTAGATCAGAGGAAGAAAATGATGTTGTTAACAAAGTTTTATTTTGCTATATATATAACTTTTTTAGGTTTTAGAGTACTCTTCATTCCATTACATAACATCATTTCATCTAAAAGAGAATCAAAACAGTCATCAGAAGATGAAAATTTTGTCCTAGATGTATCCTCCTAACAATAGTAAATACATATGCACACAATTATTTATTACAGGATTGCCTGTAATGATAAAATACCCATCAATAGGAGAGGTGACTAAATAAATCATTGCACATATACATGATGAAATACTATGCAGCTGTAAAACAAAGAAAAAGGAAAATCTCTAGGAATTGATATGGAAAGAGTTACAAGATATATTATTAAGTGGGAAGGTAAAGCGCCAAAGAGTATGAATTGACAATATGGAATGCTTCATGTAAGAACGGGATGTAAGAAATTATGCATTATCTGCTCACCTGTTCAAAATGATATATCGAAAGTAAACTCCAGAAACTAATGAGATTGGTAACAAATAATATAGGTAAGAACAGGTTTCAAGAATGAGGGATGGGAATGGGGTAAAATGAGGAAGTGACATTTCTCTGAGTAAATCTTCTTGTATAGTTCTAACTCTTTAACCATGGCAATATTTTAGCAATGAATGAATGAATGAATGAATGAATGAATGAATGAATGAATGAAATTAACTAGGATGTGGGAGGAACCCAAAAGGGAATATAACCATAAACACACCTCAAGAATACAGTAACTAATCTAAGTAATTATGGAAAACAGTGTTTGGATTATACACTATAAAACTCAAGACAAAAAGAACTCTCCACAAATAATGTATTCTAGGGCCTGAGTATCAATTCTGAAGCTACTTATTGTGATGCTAAGAATGAGCAAGTAAGTAAATATGTTGCAGATGAGTGCCAGGTTTCTCATGGTAGGAGAAAGAAGTTACAATTTACAAGCAGAGACAGCTGGGTGTTTAAACCGTATCAGTATGAACTATAAATGGGTTTTAATGGATAAATAGTTAACAATTTAAACAGATAGAGGAGTGTGTGTGTGTGTGTGTGTGTGTGTGTGTGTGTGTGTGTGTGTGTGTGTTTTCCTAGCTCTGTCTGCTGAAAGGCCCTAGAAGCAATCATAAAGGTGTAATCAATGTACCTTGGTCCCAGATCTTGGTTTCTAAGTACAATTTCCCCAATAAAAGTAAGCAGGGCTCCTGGAGAAATGGTTGATTGCAGATCTGGGGCAGCAAAAGTACAAGATGAGTCTGGAACATTTTGCAGTGCCAGAGAGTAAGGAAGTACTCAAAATTGATGACAAAATGTCAAAATGACATAGGAGCCAACTTAAAGGAGCTCCTAATGACAACAGCTGAAGCAATTTCAGCAACAAAATAAATAATGACAGCAATAGATTATAAACCATAGAGTAATATAAATATCTATGACATTACTAGTAAATAAATAATTGAATAAATAAATGGGAGGGAAGGCACAGCTTTTCCTTATGGTAGAATTCCAATGAATAAATGTAGAAGGGAAAATAGAAATAGAAACTACCTTTTAACAAACAACACAGTAACAGTTGTTGCAAGCAAAAATCACCAACTGATGCTAAATTTGTAGGTGCAAAATTATGTTGAGAAACAGTATTTGCATCATTTCAAAGTACTTCCCCACAAAATACATATGAACTATAAAGAGGAAAATAGTAACTTATAGTGGAGAAACTTGGAAGACACTACCTTTAGCAAGTAACTAAAGTTAACGTCAGCAGTAATGAGGCAGACAGACATCATGGACCTGCTGACATCATGTACTGAGAAAGGCACGTTAAATCTGTGGGATTCTGTCATAATACATAAGGTCAATGTAATCATGGGAAACATGGGAAACATCAGGCACTTCTGGCAAGATGTGATGCCAGTTGTCTGAGCCGAGTAGCAGCTACCCTTTGGACATGGTGTGCCCGATCTTGTTCCACAGATTTAAGTCTGGACGGCACTGTGCATGCGCCACTCTCTTTCTTAAAGTAGCAAATTATTCTGTAGAGATGTCGCTGCCAAAAATAGAAATTGTGTTAAGGTAGAAGGAGAGGGCCATGTTCTTAGGAGGAATATTGCTTTGTGGAAATGAAGAATATTCCAAAGTGTTTAGTATGCAAACTCCAATCCAGCTTCACTATTTTACTTACTTGCCTGGAATTCATGAAGTTTTGTTGGGTAGATATGAGAAGAGAAATTTCAACACAGGAAACAACCTGAGTTAACTTTGAGATTGATTAAAATTCGTCTGAGACCCACCTGTGAGTAACAAATGTGTTAGGCATATCATTGTGTAGTTAGTACTAGAACACGGTTTGTGAATTTATATATATAATTATATCATACAGGACAATTCGATGGAGATCGATAGTTTGAAGTGATAAAACCAGCCGGGAAGTACGATAGTGATGTAGGAGTATAGTTTTGAGGGCCTGAACCAGAGTTATAGGTGTGAAAATGGAGAAGGAAAGGAGACTACGAGAGATGGTTCAAGAGAAGGTTCCGTAGCACCTGAGATCAGTTGGATGAGGGGATTAAAAAAACCCTGTTGAGCCCTGGCCAGTGGCTCAGTTGGCTGGAGCATCGTCTGTGCACCGCAACAGTTGCAGGTTCAATTCCTGGTCAGGGCACACACCAAGGTTGCAGGTTTGATCCCTGGTTGCGGTGTGTATGGGAGATAACTGATCGATATTTCTCCCTCATATCGATGTTTCTCCCTCATATCGATGTTTC